CCTGCACTGGTTTCCACTCCCGCACCACCTCCTGCACTGGTTTCTGCACCCACATCAGCTCCCACACCCGCTCCTGCACCGGTTCCCACTCCCACACCAGCTCCTGCACTGGTTTCTGCACCCACACCAGCTCCTGCACTGGTTCCTGCACTGGTTTCCACTCCCACACCAGCTCCTGCACTGGTTCCTGCACTGGTTTCCACTCCCACACCAGCTCCTGCACTGGTTCCTGCACTGGTTTCCACTCCCACACCAGCTCCTGCACTGGTTCCTGCACTGGTTTCCACTCCCACACCAGCTCCTGCACTGGTTCCTGCACTGGTTTCCACTCCCACACCAGCTCCTGCACTGGTTCCCGCACTGGTATCCGCTCCCACACTGGCTCCCGCACTGGTTTCCACTCCCACACCAGCTCCCGCACTGATTTCTGTGCCCACACCAGTTCCCACACTGGTTCCCACTCCCACACCAGCTCCCGCACCAGCTCCAACACTGATTTCTTCACCCACACCAGCTCCCACACCCGCTCCCGCACCAGCTCCCACACTGGTTCCCACTCCCACACCCGCTCCTGCACTGGTTCCTGCACCCACACCAGTTCCCACACCCGCTCCCACACTGGTTCCCACTCCCACACCCGCTCCTGCACTGGTTCCTGCACCCACACCAGTTCCCACACCCGCTCCCACACTGGTTCCCACTCCCGCACCAGCTCCCGCACCAGTTGCTGCTCCCCAGGACGAGGGACACAGGACACGGCGGGGCAGGACATGGGACTGGGCCGTGGGACACAGGACCTGGGACACGCTGGGGCCCAGCGTCGGGACACAGGACACGGGACGCGGGACGTGGGACACGAGGCACAGTGGGGCCTGACACCGGGAACTGGGACACGGCAGGGATGGGACGGGGGGGACATGGGGCAGTGGGGGACATGGGACACTGAGGAACATGGGAAACCAGGAGACATGGGACACCGGGGGACATAGGACACCAGGGACACTGGACACTGGGGGTGATGGGACACTAGGGACATGGGACACTGAGGGAGACAGGACACCAGGGACATGGGACACTGAAGGAGACAGGACAGTGGGGACATAAGACACTGAGGGACACGGGACACTGGGGGTGATGGGACACCAGGAGACATGGGACATTGACGGAGACAGGACAGTGGGCACATAGGACACTGAGGGACACGGGACACTGGGGGAGACAGGACACCAGGAGACATGGGACATGAGGGGACATGGGACACCAGGGACACGGGACACTGGGGACATGGGACACTAGGAGACATGGGACACTGAGCGTGATAGGACACCAGATGACGTGGGACACCGGGGGAGACAGGACAGCGGGGACATGGGACACCAGGGACATGGGACATGAGGGGACATGGGACACCGGGAGACACGGGACACTGGGGGAGACAGCAGGACATGGGACACAGGGGGACACGGGACACGAGGAGACACGACACCCCGGGGGACACGGGACATCAGGGGGCCCAGGACACTGGGGGGCCTGGGACACACGGGGACGGGGGGGACAGAGCACTCCGGGGGGAGCCGGGGTGACGGGGACAGGGAGGACACGGGGACACCGGGGAACGGGGAGGGAAACTGAGGCAGGGCGGCGTGCCGGGGTGCGACCGCCCTCTCCCACCGGCTGGGCGTGCAAGCGGTGCACCTTCACCCTCTGCCTTCGTACGAGCGTGCAAACGGGGCACCTTCACCCCTTCCCTGCATATGAGTGTGCAAACGGTGCAGCTTCACTCTCTGCCTTCGTACGAGCGTGCAAACGGGGCACCTTCACCCCTTCCCTGCATATGAGTGTGCAACGGTGCAGCTTCGCGTTCTCCCTTCATATGAGTGTGCAAACGGTGCAGCTTCACTCTCTGCCTCCTTATGAGTGTGCAAATGGTGCATGTTTATGCTCTCCCTCCATGCGAGCGTGCAAACGGTGCACTTTCACTCTCTGCCTCCTTATGAGTGTG